AGCCCGCGGGTGCGCTAGCGCGTTCCCGCAGAGAAAAAAAGGAGGACTTACTCCGGCTCTCCGCCAAGTCGGCGGTCCGCTTGCCCAGCTCTTCAACGTTACGGTTGAAGGCAGTGACGCGGAGGTTGTGGTAATCCTGCGACAAGCATTTCAGACAAAGTTAGTACCCAGAAGTTCATCAATTGAAGTTCCAGGCCGCCTGCTCAGCAACCGGCCAGAAACTCAGGGACTACACCCAGTGGGTGCGCTGGCGCGCCCCCATAGAGAGGAGCAAGAAAACAAAGACCAAAGGAAAAAAAACATACCCGGACGGCTGCCCGTGACGCTAGGAACGCCTTGGTGCAACTCTGGAGAGCGTCGCCCTCAGCACGGAGCTTCGCCTGGACGTCCAAGAGCGCCCGGTTCAGCGGCCCTGTGCCGCCTCCTCGCACCCACCCAACAGGTGCGGTGCTCGTCGCTTCGGCGTCTGGGGCCGCCGAGCTGGCGGTGCCGGCTTCCAGGGGGCGGGGTGCCGAAGTCGCCTTCTCCAGACGACGGCGCGTTGGCGAGCCGACTTGGAGGAGTAGTCTCGCCACGGCCTCGTCTTCGGTCGGCGGCACCGGAGGGTCCGCTGGCCATACATGCTCCAGATCCTAGCTAGACTTATCTTCAAATGGGCAGGCCACTCAGGGTCAACCCACATAGCTGCATTTAGGCCTTCCTATTTGTTAAAAAAATAGTTCACTGCCAATATTCAGTTCTCTGCTAAAATTCATATAACTTTTAGCACTGAATTTGTAGAATTACTAAACTAAAAAGATGCAACAAATCTTCTTCAAGAGCAACACTCGCTTAAAAATATTCAGTTAATTGAATTTTTAACATTGAAAACTGAACTTTTAACACTGAATGGAATTCAATTTACTGCAAAGATTCAATTAACTTTCAACACTGGACAAAATACAATTTATTTCAAAAACTAGCAAGATGCCCGTGCATTGCACAGAACATCAAGATGCATTTTTTTACAAAACACCTGTTGTGATTGACCCATGCAGGAGTAATCCCATGTATAAAAACTAATGATATCTCGAGAATTTTATCAGAAAAATGGTATCTCGAGAATTTCATCAAAAAAAATATATCTCAAGAAAGATGAGAGATAAGGTGAGGAGGAGTGGGGCGTGGTGGTGACTGATGGTCGGACTGGGCAGAGGCATTGGGATGGACGGCGCCGGCAGCGGCCACCATGCCAGATTGTTCCAGAGACTTCCTTTTTTAATTGCTCAACAATGAGTTTGTGGGAGATAAGGATGAACGAGGCAAGGTCTTATCTGTAAATATGGAGAGCGGTGCGGGTATCTTTTGTAAAATTGTCATAGTTTGCTTTCTATCCGTCAGATATAGATCGGACGGTCTATATTACAAGATGGCAGGCACACCATCATCACCAACTCGGTTTTTATAAGAGTAGAGATACATTTAACTGCAAAAGTTCGGTTAACTTTTAGCACTCAAGATCACAAAAGTTCACTGCAAGTTCTTCAACTAGCTGCAAATTCAGTTAACTGTCATTTAACTGCACAACTGACCAATTCTTCTATAGAAGCACAAAAAAGCACATGGTAATGCTAAATCATTTAGCTACTCACCTTCTATGCATAAGCTAGGAATCCCCTCCCGCTATCCACTGATTCAAAGGCCACTAGTTTCTCATAGACGGCTCCATGCTCACATCTAGCAGCTAGATCTGTACCTAGGCCTCTCCTTTCAGCGCATAAGATGGTGGCAGGTTGCTAAAACGAAAGGAAATCAGCTTCAATGCTCACTAAAATTCCCCATTTCCCAACAAAACCCTAACCCTAGCTGCCCGAGATAGAGAACTAAACCTGGCTGGTGACGGAATCACCGTCGGATGAGCTGGTGGACAGATCGTCCCAGGAAACCATGGTGATGAGCCGCGGATGAGCTGGTGGCAGCGAATGGCGATGAGTTTCTACCTCCAATGGCATCGAGAAGGAGGAACACAGAAAGGGAAAGGGGGGAGCAGGGGGCGTATGTGAATGAAGAATCAGATGAAATTAATTCAGATAGGTCGTCCTGCGGGTTAATTAGTGAAAATGACAAGGGGGTGTCTATAAAATGTGCGGCAACCACTGGCTCGGGCCAACTGGTGCCACTTGTCTCGCTGTGATTAGCTTTGGACTGAATTGCCACATTGTGAGCAAGTTATAGGATGGTGGAGTTAGCATTTGCAAGTTCTGTGACTAAATTATCACATTGTGTGCAAGTTCCACACTTGTGGATTCTCTGCCTTGGGGAAGCAAATGCAGTGAGGAATAGTGCCTCTACCTTAGTTGGAGAGCCGTTGGATCAAAAGAAAGCATCCAGATCAGACGAAGTACTGTAGCATGCAAACTATTCACGTGGTCCTGTTTAGATCACTGTTTAACGGTACTGTTCAGGTCCTATTGGATCAGATCTGGGCGGCCCATTATTAATCCAATGACCGAAAGATTAGGAAAGTTAGAGGCATTGTTCCTCTGTGCGTTCGCTTCACCATGGCAGAGAGTCCACAGCCGATTGCCACGCCATCCTTGCCCATCGTCGGCACCGACCATCTTTGTAGTAGCAGTAGCTATGCACCTATAGGCTCTTTCTGAGGAGCAATGCTACATCAACGAACTTTTACAGGCGTTTTATGGGGTGAGGATTACTTGGCAATCTGTGATTGGATCAAGAGGGAGGGAAGGGCCCCACCCCGACCTAAAACGAGGGGAGGGGCAAGTTTAGTTGGTTGGGAGTGTCCGTTGATTCCCCGTATAAGCCTGTCGATATAGCATTTATTTTTTGCTTTCTGAGTGTTAGATTAGTTGAGTTCAAGTCTACTTTTTCTTGACAATCAATACCATGATATATTATAGTAGCAAACTGTACATGGAAGAGATACATGAGCTGACTTCAGAGATTACAAAATAAAGTCTAAAAGAAACGAGCAAATCTTCGAGATCTTCAAACTCTTCTTTCTTCCATGACACAAGCTTGTATTTTCTGAAGGCAGCCATATGAACATAACGACATTATCAAACCATAGACTTGTAAATACTAATGAGGGTTCTCCCATTGTTTTAGTTTGAGCCGCAATGCCAAGGATGCGATGCACGCACGCCACCACTAAAGTAATCAACCAATATCAGCGAAAGTACCACCAGTATTTCAGGGACAAAAACCGAAACAACCAGGCTGACATTGCTGAGAGCCGAGAGTATGAATCACCATTGTCGAGGACGTAGGAGTTGGGACAGATATTGCGAGGATCCTCCTCGCGGCGACCATGAGGAAAAAAAAATCGAAAACCGATCAGGCGAAGCAAGATTTGAAGGACCATACCTAGATAAATTTAATCTTCCAACACCACCATTAACGTCGGAAAAAAGATTTCGTCATCGAACGAAGGAACGAAGAAGACGACTACCAAAACCCCAAATCAATCTAATGAAAACATTACTATTATTAAGAACTCCACACATAGACTGGGTTCCCCAGCCCTCCTGACACCGGTAAGGCCGACAGGAGGAGGGGGAACCGATCTATGGTGAAGGCGGAGATGGTGGCGCCGGCTAGGTCTTTTTCAGTAGGAGGTGGCGGCGACAAGAAAGCGTCTCCACAGTTCAAAGCCTACTTTTAATAACCCAACATTATGTTCGGCCCCTCCTGTTTTGTGTCTACCCTTGTCTATTCTGCATTGTAATCCTGTTTAATCAACTTAATTATCTCATGGCTGTTTAGAACATGGTCTCACGCGTGTGTTAAAATATCGGTTTCGCCAACCTAGCTACGTACATGCCCCCTCAAGTCAAGTCAAGTCAAGTCAAGTCCTCCTCCACGTGACGAGAGTCAGACACACACTCCACCATTAACGACCGCTGCCCAACTCTTGCCTAGAATGAAATTCTTACGAACTTACCGCGAAGTATCCCCACATCATCGCTCAAGCAAATGGCCGTAGCAGTATTGCAAGCTACTCGTACTTATTAGAGCCTCCGAGGTCGTCTCCGAACTACGTAGTAATTCCTCGCTCTAGTTCTGATCTCCGTACTGTAGATTCATCACGGGTTGCCCAGATCGGGAGATACTTCGTTCGATTTGTCAGCACATTCGTCCCCTAGCGGCCATCCGAGACTGCAAGCTGAGCTGAGCCACCCGGCCGGCAATGGCGGAATCCGCGGTGGCCTCGGTGGTGCGAGCGTTCGGCACGCTGGCCGCCAAGGAGGCCGCCTTCCTCCGCGGCGTTAACGCCGACGCCGACCTCCTCAGGGCCGAGCTCCGCCGCATGCAGTGCTTCCTTCGCGACGCCGACGCCAAGCGCCGCGCCGGGGGGCGCGACAGCGAGCGCCTCAAGAACTGGGTCGTGGACGTGCGCGATGCGGCGTACGACGCGGGGAACGCGCTCGAGGAGGCCGACTTCCTCGCGCGCCACCGCCACATGCGGCGCGGGTTCTTGGGCGCCCTACCATGGCTCGCCAATCTCGCCGCGCTTCACACGTTCGGCGTGAAGATTAGGCGCGTCCGGGCCAGGATCCGTCAGATCTCCGACAGCGCCGTGGCCTACGGGATCACGGACCTCGGGGAGGCCAGCGCCTTGGCTGATGTCGAGGAGCAAGAGGTGACGCCTTATGACCTCAGCTGGAACAGTGCAGATAGTGATTTTTTTGTTGGGTTCCACGAGGAGAGGGATGCTATATTCAAGGAGTTGTTGGATCCTGAGATTTCGCCGATTTGCGTCGTCTCCATAGTTGGGATGGCTGGATCGGGCAAGTCCACCCTCGCAAGGAAAGTTTACAACGACCCACGGGTTAAACAACACTTCCATTCCTCGTGTTGGATTTCAGTGTCCGAGAATTACAGGTTTCTTGATCTGATCAAGGATATTGCTACGAGTGTCCTGGGCATTACAAGGGAAAATGTAGTTACTGCAGAGCAGTGATGGTGGGGCAATCAGTGGTGGCAAGTGGAAGCAAATGACCAGTGAAAAATTGGAAAGTATGGGCGAGGAAGATGTCAAGGAACTTCTGAGCGATTTCCTGGCTCAAAGAAAATTTCTTGTAGTATTGGATGATGTTTGGAAGAGTAGTTCTTACGATAAGATAAGTAAGATCCTCAGTGTCTTGCCGGATGTGAACAATGGTAGTAGGATCGTTTTGACCACCCGAGATATGGATGTCGCAAGGCATGTCAACAGGAGAAGCAGCATTCATGAGAAGAAGCTTTTGGATGAGAAGGAGAGCTGGGAGTTGCTTGAGAAGTGGTCCTTTCCGGAGTACCGAGATGTAAGCAGTGCTGATCGATCACGGTTGATGGAGATAGGGAAGAAATTGGCAGTGAAATGCAAAGGGTTGCCGCTTGCTCTTGTGGTCTTGGGAGGTTATCTTTCTAGGAACTTGGACTATGACATTTGGTCAGGATTGGTTGGTAATCTAGACTGGGAAGCTCGCAGGAATGATGAGCCATTCTGGAAGATCATAGATAGAAGTTACAATGACCTCCCAAACCATCAATTGAAATCATGCTTTCTTTATCTAGCCTCCTTTCCAGAAGACTATGTCATCCGTGTAGCAAGACTTTGCAAGTTGTTGATTGCTGAAGGACTTATTCCACATCGGCAGAATCGGACAATGGAAGATACAGCCAGAGAGTACATAAAGGAGTTGGTACAGAGGTGTATGCTCCAAGCCGTTGAAAGGAGCAAGTGGCATGGCTCGATAAAGAGTGTGGTTCTCCATGACGTGATTCGTGAATGGGCTATTGCAGAGGCAAGGAGGGAGGGGCTGTTCAACATATGGAGCAATCCGACAGATTGCGATCAGGCACTCTCTGATTCAGTAACCGCTTACCGAGTTGCTCTCCATAACTTTGCTGGACGTACTGAGATTAATGTGGCCATGCCCAAGTTGCGGACCTTGTTGGTGTTTTTCAATTTACCGGCAGTATCTGTACTGTGCAGGCTGAAATTTCTCAGAGTGCTTGATCTTCACGGCCTAACAGGTATCAAGTTATTACCATCTGGCGTTGGCATCTTGATACATCTAAGATATTTTGGATTGAAAAAATGTGGATACAGATCGGTTGGCGTTCCTTCCTCAGCTAGCGATCTCTTAAACTTGCAAACCTTTGATGCAAGAGGGTCCAGAATAAGATCACTGCCACGGTTCTTTTGGGATATTCCAACCATGAGGCACCTGTATCTTGGTGAGGTCAGGCGCTGGGTTCCTCCGGAGGTTGGATGGCTTGGCTCGTTGCAGAGTTTCTACTTTTGTGAAAAAACACAGATGCGTGCTGTGAGCGGGCATATGACAGTCAAGGAACGACGATTGGCTGAAAATGGAAACAAACACATTGCTCGCAGAAACGTGAAAAAATGGGCAGCCTTATTCAGAGCTTTGGAGGGAATGGAGCAGCTCGTGTTCTTACACTTGGAGAGTTGGAGAACACAAAGGCGCACCAAATGGCGAGGGCGGGTCTTCTCCACACAACTCTTGGGCAGCATTTCGCGCCATAGGCATCTTCAAGTGCTAGAGCTCGCCGGAGACTGGCTGTGCGGGGTTGGCCAGCTAAGCAAGCTCCCTCATTGCCTCAAGAAGCTCAAGCTGATAGCGTCTGAAGAACTGAATAAAGACCCGATGCCTGTGCTGGGCATCCATCCGAATCTGGTGGTGCTTGTCTTGGAGAGCGCTTTCAAAGGGAACGGCATGATATGCCATGCAGAAGGGTTTCCTAGACTGCGCCACCTGACATTTGAACACGTCGGGCGTCTCGGGTCTTGGAATGTCGAAGCTGGGGCATTTCCTTCACTAACCCATCTGAATCTTAGTGTATCGAGCTTCCCCGTTGTCCCTCCTCTTGGCCTGTTTCATGTGACTTCGCTGCAGACGTTGCTGTTGAAACAGCACCCTATGGACGAGAGCAGTATTTGCTTAAGTCCTGTTGGCAAACTAGAGGAGAGGGGGTGCGAGGTCATCATCAAACGGTTGGGTTAATCATGCCAAACTATCCTTGTCAAAGTACTGGGTTAGGGAACTTCAGTGTACTCTTTTCTTTTCCTCCCATGATGACTCCTTTGATTCCTTTGCAAAAGATCAGCTAGTTTGTAATGGTCTCATCCTTTCTTACCGGGCTTCCTGGTCTCATCTTTGTTGACCCAGCATTTGGATAACTTAACCTTGTTTTATTTTCACTCATTTTGTAATGTTAGACCTACTACCTGGCAGTGGCACACAAGATTTTCAGATCTTTGTTATGAAATGCAAGTGTACGGCATTCCATACTTCTTTCAGTAGTGCAGCAGCATAGCCAAATATCGTTCTTGCTTGTGTCTTGCGATTCCAGATGTGCAGCAAATACATGGATGCATAGTTGTTGCTCTGGCTTAGCTGCCCGAGAAACATCTGTTACATGCTTTCTCCCAAGTCCCAATGGCATGTTTTGTCTGTGCAGCTGATGTGCAGTAGAAACAATTGTGTTCAGTGAATGTTGTTGTAAGTACTGAAGCATGAACAGATTTACATAGAAGCTCTCTATTTATCATTATTCTGTATCCGGTTTGCTTTATTTTGATTTTTGATTTTTTTGGAGGGATTTGACATACAAGTGTTGGCCGTTATTCTTTTATGTCCCACTAGGCGTAATGAATTGAAGTGTTGCTGTTAACATGATCATTGAACCACTGAAGTGAAGATCAGTTTGGGGCTTTGGGCACCCAAAGAACCTCTGAGATGTAAGAGCATCTCCGCCCGTTGCCCCCCCTAGGAGGCGCTAAAAATCGCCGCCTGGGGGCGTATCGGCGTTAAACCGCGTGCTGGGGGCGTGATGCTCCTCAGTCGCCGCGCCCATGTTTTTTTTTGAAAAACAAAATCCGGCACAAACAAGGCGCAAATTTAACCAAACTTCGGAGAGTTCATAACATATTTAAAATATTTTACAAAAGAAGAAAAAAACACTACTAGACCCGCCGTCGCCCTCGCCTATCCTCGCCGCCCGCCGCCTTTGAAGCTTTACATGCCGAGGAGCCTGTAGAACTTTGTGTAGTCGCCGCGGCTGCCGTCCCTGCTGCTCCCCTGCCCAAGGTTGCCGACGCGTGGCGGGTTGGACGGACCGGGGGCGTCCTCGTCCTCGTCGCTGTCGAGGATCACCACGCCGTTCTCGTCCTCGCGCCCACGCTGGCGGGCGGCTATCTCCTCCAGGCTCGGCCCTGCCGGACCATCTCGTCGCGGAGGTAGTCGTCCCGCGCCCACTTTAGGGCATCCTCGTCGGAGAAGCTGCGCCGGACTATGGCCTCGTACTCCGCGGGGAGGCCGGGCTCCACCTTCGGCCTGACGAGCCGGGCGGAGGTGGGGGAGGGCTCGGCGATGCGGACGCCGGAGCTGCGGGTGCGCTGGTTGATCGGCGTGTCCTGGGGCTCCAGCTTGACGGGGAGGAGGGAGGGAGAGTCGGACGAGCGGCCGGACGAGGAGGAGGACGCCGGGTCCATGCGTCTCGGCGTCCACGAGCTCCCACACCGGCGGGAGAAGGAGGGGGGGAGCGGGGTACTCCAGCCTGGGCGTGTTGCCGCCCTCTATGTACTCGAGGACGGCCTCCAGCGTGCGGCCAGGCTCGCCCCACCTTTGGCGGCGGCCGTCGGAGTTGAGCCTTCCGGAGGGCACGACACCGTTGGTGGCCTTGAGCTGCTCGGTGTGGCGGCGACGGAAGTACTACTCCCACAGCGGGCTGTCAGGGACGTACCTCGGCCCTTCCCTCGCCGCCTGCGGCAGAGAGGCACGGATACGGGCGATCTCCGCACGACGCGCCGCCCCGGTGGGCGGCGGTGGCACCGGGACCCCGCCGGCGCTGATCCTCCACACCCCGGGCACCCGCATGTCCGGCGGGATGGGGTACTCGGCCTCATAGAGAAGCCGAGCTTCGTTCTCATGAAGGTGGCGGTGGCCGAAGCCGTTCGCCGCCGCGCCGTCGCCTGGAAAGCGCTCGGCCATTGGGTGAACTGGAAACGACGAGCGAGAAGAGAGGGAGGAACGAGGGCGTCGAGGAACGGGGGCGTCAGCGGTGGAGAGTCTGTACGTCACCGGTGCGGGAGGGGTCGGCTTATATAGGTGGCGCCCGCGTGGCCGTCGTGTGTACGCGTGGCGGGCGAAGGACGCGCGTCGTCCCGTCTTCACTGCGCCGCCCGTGAGGTATCAATGGAGGAGGCTGACCGGCGCGGCAGCTTTGGCATTGATTCCGCCGCGGGAACTGAGGCGATGAGAACGACGAAGCGACAAGAAGAGCCGAGTCGCTGCCAAGGAGGGCCCGCCGATTTTCGCGCGAAAAACGATTCGGCTGGCGCCCCCAAGCGCCCCCAGCGTGCCTGGTTCGGGCTGGATCCGCCGGCGCCAATTTCAGCTCGAGCAGGCGAAAAAATGGTCGTTAAGAGCGTGACTGGGCCGATTTTTTAGCACCGGCGGCTGAAAAACAACATTACTTGCAATTTTCGTCAAGCAGAGTAGGAGACCCTAGCTGTGGATTGGTGCGATACTAATTGTATCTTGATGTGATACAGGCGACACATGTGTCTACTCCCTCTACACCAAAATGTAAGACTTATCACAAATTGTGCCAAGGGAGGGCACAAAGGGAGGCTAAAGGACTCTGGCAAGCATGCATCCCGCTGAAGATTAAAGTATTTCTTTGGCAGATGTTCCGTGATCAACTTCCTACATCTATTAACATAGCTAAACGGAACGGTCCGGCGACGGGTCCGTGCACGTTATGTGGGAACCCTGAGACCGCAAACCATGTCTTCTTTCTATGCCCACTTGCTAGGTTCGCCTGGAGCGTTGTGTGCGAGGCGGTGGGCGTCCGCTGGGACTGCGTTCCTCCTCCGAACTTGTAGGGCTACTTGATTCGGTCCAGGGATAGAACAAGCGTGTGCTGTGGATTAGTATAGGGGCGCTGTTATGGTCCTTATGGCTCACTCGCAATAAACTTACCATTGAGGCTGAGGGCATTCTTCCGTCGCACCCAGCTAATATCATATACAAATGATCTATTCTCATGCAACAGTGGAGTCCATTGGCGAAGCGGAAGGACTTTGAGATCGTGAAGCACGCGCAAGAACGAATTCACCAAGTGTGTGTGGCGGCTAGGGAGCCGGCGATGCCTGCCTAGGGTGGGAGTGCCCTTTTGTTTTGCGAGCCTGCGTTCTCAGATGCTTAGGCCTTGGCCTTGTAACTTGCTCACTGCCCCGCTTTGAACCCTCTAGACTCTCTTGATGCCGGTGCGCCTAGGGCTTTTGGTTTGTGAAATGTTTCAATCGGTTGCTACTCTGCCTGTTGTGTGGGCTTTATTAATTTAAAGCCGGACGCTTCTAACTTCTTCATTCTAAAAAAAATGTAAGATTTTTTGCAGTTCAAATATTTTGGTCCAGAGGTAATACTTTCTAAGGAACATTATATACAGTATGTCATGTGACATGAATCAATAAAATACTATGGATAATGATCTCAGTTAGCAAATGTATTTACAGATTTGGGCTCGTGATTGAAAAAGTTGTGCTTCTTGCTAGGACACTAGAAAATTCTTCTGGTAGTAACAGCGTGCGAAATTCCTCATGCATATACCACATCCAAAAGGCAACAAGAAATATCCTGAATTCCGCTGGTGCCAGTTTCTCTGGTCCGGGTCCGGTTTTCAAATTATGATCCTGATGCTGGTGTGTCGGAAAGGGTACAATCAGAGAAAACTGTGTCAGCATGAAGATGCACGGAAAAGCCGACGGGATTCAGATGTCTACTTTGGTGCAGAGAACTTTGTCTCTTCCAAATTAACCGTGTGAACTAGATTGCATTTTGTGATAAATCATGTACTACAACTTTCTCCCGCGATGGAACTCCAGGACGAGTTACATGCAATGCTTCCTTGTAGAATTTGCAAGCAACAGCTGATTGGACAATACTCTCCCCAGCCTTTTTTCCCCCCTGCATGCATGCGAAATTAACGTGTCCACATTTGCTCCTCCAGAAGCAATAGCATTATCCATTTCACCACTGTTGCAGAAATCCATCCACGCTTCTCAAAAGGGAGAACTAAAAATCTCTCTTTGCAAAAGTTTCATGTAGCTAGTTTGACGAAAAGAATACATTTTCTGTTAAACTATCAATATCAACGAAATGGTTTTTTTAAAGGATCGCAATAACTGGTGATCGTTCCTCTTCTAGGGACAAGTATGAACGATCCCTCCCTGCGAGACCGAGAGCGTGCGATAGGGTGCGAGGCCGAGCCGTGACCGGTTCAACAGCCGTGAGTGATCAACACTGGCTATGGCTAGCCGTACTTCGCGCGTAGGTCGCTGGATAGCAACCTAATGCGTACCCTCCTGCGAACCAGTCCTCTTTATAGGCCAGCCCATTTTTGGTTTTCTTCCCACTGATTAAAGGAAGGTCCTACTTCCCTGATCAGTTGTTTTTTTCTTTTTTCTTTTGTTTTTCCTTCTGGTTCATTCTTATTTTTTATTTTCTAATTTCATAAACATTTTTTCATCCATGAAAGATTTTGAATTTGCGAACATTTTTGTAAATCATGAACAATTTTTTAATCACGAAACATTTTTTCAAATTCATAATTTATTTGCAAATTTTATTTAGAAAAATTGCAAAATATTTTGTAATTCATGATTTTTTTTCAAATTTGTGATTTTTTTTATTTGCAAATGTTTGCGAACACTTTTGAATTCATGAACCTTTTTTTAAATTCATGAATATTTTTAGAATTTGTGAACATATTTTCGAATACATGAACATTTATTGAATCCACAACCATTCAATAAAATTCATGAACATTTTCCCAAATACACATATATTTTTCAAATTTGAGAATATTTTCTAAACCCGCAAATATTTTTCCAAATTCACACACAATTTTTTATTTTTTAAACATTTTCAAAATTAATGAGCATCTTTTGAACTTGTGAGCATATTTTCAAATTCACGAATATTTTTTAGAGTCTGCGAACATTTTTGGAAATTCATGAACAGTTTTTGAGTTCATATTGTTTTTGAAATTTTTGAACATATCATTGAAATTGCAAAGATTTTTTTAAAATCTCGATCATTTTTTGAATTCATGTTTTTAATATTATTCTGCAAAAAAAATGAATTTTGGAACATTTTTTGAATTCATGATTTTTCTTAAAATTTCTGCAGTGGCCGGCCTTTTAGAGGTTTTAGAACAGGAAACAGAGCTCTAGCCTATGTAGCAATAGCACACGCCAGCAAGTGAATAAAACGACAAAATGGGTCGGCCCACTACGAGCCGACCTGCGCTTTTGGTCGCTATGCCTCGACCTGTGTGCTAAATAGGGGGTCCCGTCAATGCTGATCGATCCTGGAGACGACAACGTGAAGGCGTACTCCACGCTGTAGGCTCCTTCTTCAGCACTGAAATGTGCCAGCAATGCTCGCACCCCTCCGTGATTGGTCGTATTCTTTGGGTTGCTACTAGGATTGCCTTATGCCGTAGGTCGTACTTGGGCATTTGGTTTTGGTTGGATCACGCCTTTTCGGCAATGTAAGGGTCATGGTGGTGTTGCGGTAGTGCTTTCTTCGGCAATGTATATGGGCCGTGCCGTCTTCGCCCTTCGGTGCTAAATAGAAAGATCACAAGTCAGAACCGCCCTAAGGAAAGACTAAACATGACCGGCCGAAACATAAGGAAAATGCCCTAAGCCAAAACGGGAAAGAAATTTGGTGGGTTGATCGCAACGTGCCGCGGCTCCAGGAACCTTCCTAGCCATGTTAATACGGCATGCAATCTCGTGTGATCTCCTATACTATAGAAAGAGGAGACGCCATGCCTTGTGTGCTCGGCGATTCCCCGACCGCGATCTCCACCCCTCCCTCGCTTTCCACTCCACGCATAGGTCGATCGATCGACATGCCTCGCACGAAGCAGGTAATGAAGCTGGTCGACAACGGCAAGAAGCGGGATCTGACGTACAGGACCCGCCTGGGCAGCCTCGTCAAAAAGGTCTCGGAGCTCTCCACGCTCTGCGGCATCGACGTCTTCCTCCTCTGCGTCAAGCCCGGCCCGGCCGGCGGCGAGGTCACGGCCTGGCCGGAGGACCGCGACGCCCTGCGGGAGCTGGTCGCGCGCTTCCGCGGGACTCCCCCGGAGAGGGTCAAGGAGAACCTCAACGCCGCCACCTACCTCCAGGGCGAGCTGGCCAAGGGCCAGCGCAAGCTGGTCAAGGCCAGGCACTGCCGGCTGGATGACGTGCTCACGCAGTGGGACCGCCACCTCGACGACCTCTCCGTCCACGACCTCAACGAGCTGTACCGGACGCTGGGCGAGACGCTGCAGAGGGCGCAGCGCCGGATCGCCGAGCTCGGCGTGACGTCGTCCGCGCTCGCGGTGGTGACCGCGCCCGAGCAGCAGCATGGCCCGGCGTTCCCTGGCAACGCCTTCGACTTCGGCTTCGGCTGCTTGTCCTCGGGCGCCACCTCCTCCGTGGCCCTACCCCTACTAGGAGCGCAGGACTACCACTACCTTCCCCGAGACATCCCGCCGCCGCCGCCGCTCTCTGTCCAGCCGCCCTACCTCGGCTTCCACATGCTGCCGTCGGGCATCGCCTTTGGGTCCCCGCTGCCGCTGCCCCTTCAGATGTCGGCGCCGTCGGGTTTCAGCTTTACCAGCGCAGCAGGCATGAGCATGACGATGGACCGCCTGCATTACGACGCCAACGCCGTCGTCAATGGGGGCACGGCGGCAACCGGTGCGGCGTTTTATGATGATTTTGGCAGCAGGCAGGGGCAGGGTTTTGGTACTGGTGCGGCATACCACCACCAGGATCTACTTGGGTATGGCTGCTTTGACGCCGGCTACGATGTTGAGCCTCGGGCTGCTGCCGGGGTTTGGCCGCTGGCTACTCCGAATAATAATCAAGTGGTGGACGCTGCCGCCTACCAGCTGCAGAATGATCCATCTGCGTTATGGTCGGAGAATGGCGCCGGTCACCTTGCCCTGCAGGGCGGACAAGAAGAGCGGGGTCGGCTGCGGCGGTTTCACCGGAGGGTGTAGCGTCAGCCTGAACATGCATGCATGCATGATGTGTTCAAGGTTATTTTGTGTCTATCCACAAGACTACACAGTTAGATAATGTTAGTAAAATGTTTTTCTTTGTTGCACCAGAGTACTAGTATAATCAGATATTAGTCTCTTTAAAGCATGCATGCAGTTATTAAATATTATTTAATAGAGATAGATGCCTTTCTTATCAGCGTATGCGTGCTCTTATTAGCATAACCTATCCTGAATACATGCCCTTAGTTAATTAGCATAACCTATATAGGTTGCTGCATTATATGAAAATTTTGAACTTGGTATAATATCTAATAACAGGATGCAAATATTGTTTTTTTTGTAAACTTTAGTTTATAAAAGTTTTGAGTTCCTACTTGATATGTACAGAAAAGTCTCAAGACACAAATATCCACCTTCTATGCAAGTATGATCACATACAAGTCTGCTTAGGTTATGTTCACAATAGATGATGCAGCACTCAAAATACCCAATTTTGGTCATAAGTCTCATCAGAATAAATTCATACGACCAAGCAGTGAACTCCCAAATGCGACTACAGAGATGCGCCAACACCGTTGAGCGAGCCAATCGAATGAATTTCAATCAAGCAAAGTTCGGAGGATCCATGCAATACCATGGTGTTATAATTAGTGGCAAGGTAGACACAAAATGAGTGAGTGAGCGACTGTGGTGGTGGTGGTAGGGGTAGGGGGGGTAAAAAGAAATTTCAACCGTCCGTTTTTATGTCCGGACGTGGTCCGTGGACACGATACGGGAGGAAGCCATCTAATGCTATTCACAACTTAATCCCGTTGGGAGGACAGAGAGTGGAGAGGAACCATCCATGTGGTGTGATATTGTGGTGTGGTGTCTGGCTAGGAGGAGAGAGAGGAGAGGGGGACCATGCATGCGAAGAGAAAGAAAAGAGAGGATGACCACGTGAAGACTTTTTGTTGGTCAATTGCATGTTCAGACTCTTGCATAGCTCTCCTCAGTTTAGTTTTGATTTGCGGGGAAACAGACGTTTGAACCACTTTGCATTAGATGTCAAAAGTTGACACAAGTGACCAGACACCATAATCCAGACATACACCTAAACTTTGAGGGCCTCCTTTGAAGATGCCCTAAGCTCGTGTTTGCTAATGATCAGGGTGGGGGCAACAACCCCCTCCGGTCCTCCCCCAACTAAGCCATAGCTCCACCAGTAGTTACAAAGAAACATTTAAACCTTATTAATGTTGGGATGCAGCATTTGAGGAACTTTAGGGGAATCTTGTGTTGATACCAAGAACTACAGTACCGCCACCGTGAGCAGTCCTATCAGTCCTCCCTGCAGAGCAAAGCAACAGTGAAGCCACAGACAATAAAGTGATTTTTACTGCGTACACAGTAGATGCTCAATATTAATCCAATCCATGCTGAAATTACAATACAAGATTACCTTTTTCTCTTTCTTGACTGCCTCCATTTTTGCTATTACGCTACTGAAATTCTGCTCGTCCCCCATCGCATCCATAATGATCTTGCCTTCACCTGCTGTGAGGTTGAATGCGCCGATACGTCGGCCCTCTTTCAAATATTAGGCTCTTTAACGCATGCACGCAATCCTTATTTAAGAGAGATAGATGCCTTTTCTTATCAGTGTGCATGCTCTTATTAGCATAACCTATCCTGGATAGATGCATTTCCTCTCAGTTTACATGCCCTTAGTTAATTATCATAACTTGTATAGGTTGCTGCATTATATTTAAATTTCGAACTTGGTATAATATCTAATAGCTGAACGCAAATATTTTGTAAAGTTTAGTTAATAAAAGTTTTGAGTTCCTACTTGATCTGTATAGAAAAGTCTCACGACACAAATATGCAACTTCTATGTAAGTATGATCACATACAAGTCTGCTTAACTTATGATTACAATAGATGATGGACCACTCAAAATAGCCAATTTTAGTTATAAGTCTCGACAGAATAAATTCATATGACCAAGCAGTGAACTCCCAAATGCGAGTCGCAAGGCGGCATAACAAATTTCTCAAGACACAACTATGCACCTTCTATATGTAAGTTTGTTGATCACATACTAGTCTACTTAGGTTATGATCACAATAGATGATGCAACACTCAAAATACCCAATTTTAGTCATAGGCCCCATCAGAATAAATTCATACGACCAACCAACCAGTGAACTCCCAAATACGAGTCGCAAACCGACGCCAGCGCCATTGAGTGAGCCAATCAAATGGAATTTCAATAATGCAGAGTTCAGATGATCTACG